GAGGGAAGGATAGATTGAGGGGATAGTGTGGAGGATGAATTAAGGTGATGGAGGAAGGGGCGGGGTGGAGGGAAGGATAGATTGAGGGGATAGTGTGGAGGATGAATTAAGGTGATGGAGGAAGGGGCGGGGTGGAGGGAAGGATAGATTGAGGGGATAGTGTGGAGGATGAATTAAGGTGATGGAGGAAGGGGCGGGGTGGAGGGAAGGATAGATTGAGGGGATAGTGGGGAGGATGAATTAAGGTGATGGGGAAGGGGGCTGAAGTGGAGGGAAGGATAGGTTGAAGGGATAGCGTGGAGGATGAATTAAGGTGATGGGGAAGGGGGCTGGGGTGGAGGGAAGGATAGGTTAAAGGAAAAGAGGAGATCGTGAGCTGACCGCTATAAGGAGGGAGGGATTTCCTGCAGGGCAAAGCACAGATCGATACTCACCTCCGTTCATCAGGTATCCCAGCTCGTATCTCGCCGTCTTTATTCGTTGCGAGCTGGCAGATAAAGTGGTGGTAACCGGTGGTGGCGCGGTGAGTAATTCGTCCAGGCACGGATAATTTTTCGACACCTAGAAACCGATATGAAGAACCGAATTATAGTAATGTGATAATTACTAATATAACTAGACAGAGGGCACTCATGGAGAGCGCATACCTTCGCCAGCGACATAGCAGTAGCAGCTCGTAGCTCGTTCAGTCCGTAGCTCGTAGCAGCCGCTTGTTACGCAGCCGCCGCAGCCGCCGCAGCCGCCGTACAGATCGCTAATATCGATCGAGCTGGCTACACTAACACACGAACACACTAACACACGAACACACTAACACACGAACACACTAACACACGAACACACTAACACACGAACACACTAACACACGAACACACTAACACACGAGCACACAAACACACTACACGAGAGTGATCACATAACCTCCTCCACTCCGTGGGCGGAGGTAATTAATCAATGATTAAAATATAGTATAGAATAGTAGTAGCTCGTACCGAACGCGAAGTTTTACTATATAGATTGATATAGAGCGATTATAATCCTATTGCCAGCAGGCAACCACCTGAATCTAGCTGATCAGAATATATTTGATACAATCCACAACAATAAAAGATAGTTTGATGGCACAGTTGTAGTGTGCACGCACACACATGTGCTGGGTTACAGATAAAGTTGTATTGTGCAGGTGAAATATATACATGTGTGCAGTGGAGTAGTGGTACACTGTAAATGTGTACGGCATGGTACACTCTGTAGGAATATTACAGCATATTGTATTGGTATATTGTACTGGTATTTTGCACAGATATATTGTAAATGTGTATTGCATAGATATACCGGTATATTGTATAGGTGTCTAGCTATATTTTACTGGTATATTGTACTGATATATTCAGTATATATATATTGAATATTTATAGACGTATATTCTATAGGTATACTGTCGTATTGTACAGGTATGCTGCATAGGTATATAGAACAGGTGAGAATTATGTGTTTTGCATATATTGGTGTAATAGTACAGGTGTGAGATTTATGTGTTTTGCATATAATTATTGGTGTAATAGTACAGGTGTGAGATTTATGTGTTTTGCATATAATTATTGGTGTAATAGAACAGGTGAGAGACTTATGAGTTTTGCATATATTGGTGTAGTAGTACAGGTGTGAGATTTATGTGTTTCGCATATATTGGTGTAATAGAACAGGTGTGAGATTTATGTGTTTCGCATATATTGGTGTAATATAGTACAGGTGTGAGATTTATGTGTTTTGCATATAATTATTGGTGTAATAGAACAGGTGAGAGATTTATGTGTTTTGCAGATATTGGTGTAATAGTACAGGTGTGAGATTTATGTGTTTCGCATATATTGGTGTAATATAGTACAGGTGTGAGATTCATGTGTTTTGCATATAATT